TCAGCCCTGGTGCTTTAACCAGAATTCTCAGTCTACCTTTTGCTCACACATGCATGTCCCCATTGCAAGGACTTGTATCTTCTTTTTCTTTTTTGTTTGAGTTGGAGTCTCACTCTGTCGCCCAGGCTAGAGTCAGTGGCACAATCCTGGTCTCCACAGCCTCGACTTGCTGGGCTCCAGTAATCCTCCCACCTCAGCCCTCCAAGTAGATGGAACTACAGGTGCATGCTACCACGCCCGGCTAATTTTTGATTTATTGTAGAGACAAGGTCTCACCAAGTTGCCCAGGTGGGTCTTGAACCCACGGGCTCAGGAAATCCACTCGCCTCGGCCTCCCAAATTTCTGGGATTACAGGCTGAGCCACTGAGCCTGGCCTTTTTTTTTTTGGAGTTGGAGTCTCACTCCATCGCCGAGGCTGGAGTGCAGTGACATACTCACAGCCACCCCAGTGTCGACCTGCTGGGCTCAGGCGGTCCTTCCACCCCAGCCTTCCAAGTAGCCAGAACTACAGGTGCACGCTACCACGCCTGGCTAATTTTTGATTTATTGCAGAGACAAGGTCTCGCCATGTTGCCTAGGCTGGTCTCCAACCTGCGGGCTCAGGCAATCCTCTCGCCTCAGCCTCCCAAAGTGCTGGGATTACAGGCTTGAGACACTGGGTTGGCCAAGGACTTGTATCTTGTGCTAAGTGTGGGCTTACTCAGAACCCTCAAGGCACCCACCACCCTGATTTGAGCTGTTCTTTCTTTTTTCTTCTCTTTTGAGTCAGAGTCTCACTCTGTTGCCCAGGCTGGAGTATAGTGGCATGCTCATGGCCACTACAGTCTTGACCTGCTAGGCTCAGGTGATCTTCTGTCTCAGCTTCCCAAGTAGCTGGGCATACAGGCACGTGCTACCACACCCAGCTAATTTTTTATTTTATTGTAGAGATGAAGTCCCGCTATCTTGCCCAGGCTGGTCCCAAACTCCCCTGGCCTCAAATAATCCTCCCACCTTTGCCTCCCAAAGTGCTGGGATTACAGGCATGAGCCGCCACACCTGGCCTTTTTTTTTTTTTTTTTTTTTTTTTTTAGACAGGGTCTTACTCTGTCATCCAAGCTGGAGTGCAGTGGTGTGATCACAGCTTACTGCAGCCTTGACCTTCTGGGCTCAAGTGATTCTCCTGCCTCAGCCTCCCAAGTAGCTGGGAATATAGGTGCATGCCTTTACATCTGGCTAATTTTTTTGTAGAGATGGGGACTCAGTATGTTGCCCATACTAGTCTTGAATTCCTGGCCTCAAGTGATTCTCTTGCCTCGGCCAGTGTTGGTCTTTTTTCTTTTTTCTTTTTTGAGTTGTAGTCTCACCCTTGTCACCCAGGCTGGAGTGCAGTGGCACACTCATGGCCACCACAGTGTGGACAATAAGGCAATCCTTCTGCAGGTGCATGCTACCACACCCGGCTAGTTTTTGTGATTTATTGTAGAGACAAGGTCTCACCAAGCTGCCCAGGCTGGTCTCGAATCCCTGGGCTCAGGCAGTCCTCTTGCCTTGACCTCCCAAAGTGCTGGGATCACAGGCTGAGCCACTGTGCCGGGCCAGTGGTGGTCTTATTAATGGGTGTGACTGTGCCAATGTGCCTATAATGGGTCACAGGGTGTGTGATATGAGTGGAGCCTGCCTGTGTGCTATGCCATGGATCTGGGCCTAGGCTCCATAGGGAGCTTCACAGTTTACAGAGTCCGCACCCAAAGTGACTTAAGCTGATCCTCATAACCACCTTGTGAGTGGTGTTCATCATTCCTGTTTTACAGATTGGGAAACTGAGACTCAGAGAGGAGTCAGTTGCTCAAGGCCATGCATCCTGTCAGAGATCTGCTGAGCTGCGAGTGTGCTGGGCCTGGGTCACCCCTAGCCCAGGTGCTAGCAGCTTATCTTCCTCCCCCCGAAGGACCAGCCACAAGCTCTCCTGGGACCCCTGCACCTCTCCTCTGGGGATGCCCTTCCAGCTCTGACCGCAGCATCCCTGGATCACCCTGGCCCTCCCATCTCCTAGCCCTCATCCAGCTTCCTCCATGCTAAGAGCACGCTGCAGTACTTCTGCTCCACACAACATCAGTCCCAACTTCTCTCTTCCTGGCTCTCCACAGGGGGTTAGTCACTATGTCTTGCCTCCAGCTGGGACTTCCGACCCTCCTTCTCTGTGGAGACCTTAGGCCTCGCCCTCTTTCTCCTGGTCATAAGAATTTAGTCTTGCACGTCTGCCATCCCAGCACTTTGGGAGGTGGAGGCAAGAGGACTGCCTGAGCTCAGGAGTTTGAGACCAGCCTGAGCAATATGGCGAGACCTCATCTCTACAATAAATAGAAAAATTAGCCAGGTGTGGTGGCACATGCCTGTGGTTCCAGCTACTTGGAAGGCTGAGGTGGAAGGATGGCTGAGCCCAGCAGGTCTGAGGCTGTAGTGGCTGTGAGTATGCCACTGCACTCCATCCTGGACGACAGAGTGAGACTCCTACTTTAAAAAAAAAAAAAGGCTGGGCGCGGTGGCTCACACCTGTCCCAGCATTTGGGAGGCAGAGGCGAGGACTGCCTGAGTCCAGGGGTTCGAGACTAGCCTGAGCAACATGGTGAGACCTTGTCTTTACAATAAATAAAAAAATTAGCCGGGTGTGGCAGCACACGCCTGTAGTTCCAGTTACTTGGAAAACGGAGGCAGAAGGATCACTTGAGTCCAGCAGGTTGAGGCGGTGGTGGCCATGAGCGTGCCACTGCACTCCAGCCTGGGTGACAGAGTCAGATGCCTACTTAAAAAAAAAAAGAATTCGGCCGGGCTTGGTGGCTCAGCCTGCAATTACAGCACTTAGGGAGGCCAAGGTGAGTGGATTGCCTGAGCCTGTGGGTTCGAGACCCGCCTGGGCAACTTGGCGAGACCTCATCTCTACAAT